GAGGAGGAGGAGGAGGAGGAGGAGGAGGAGGAGGAGGAGAAGATTGGATTTATACCCCGCCCTTCACTACCCAAAGGAGTCTCAGAGCGACTTACAAACTCCTTTCCCTTCCCCTCCCCACAACAGACACCCTGTGAGGTGGGCGGGGCTGAGAGAGCTCTGACACAAACTGCTCTTTTTCAAGGACAGCTGTGCCAGAGCTTGTGACTGACCCAAGGTCACATCAGCAGGTGCAAGTGGAGGAGTGGGGAATCAAACCCGGTACTCCCATATTAGAGTCCGCACACTTAACCACGACACCAAAGCAGCCATGTTCTCCTGGGGAACTGATCTCTTTCCCCGGGAGATCAACTGCACTCCCAGACCTCCAGCCACCACCTTGAGATGGGCAACCAGAATTACAACCGATCTCCAGACTACAGAGACGCGTTCCCTTGGAGGAAATGGCCCCTTTGGAGGGTGGGCTCTGCGTCATTCTACCCTGCGGAGGTCCCTCCCCTCCCCAAATCCTGCCCTCCCCTGGCTTTTCACTGCCATATTTCCAGGAATTTCCCAGCCTGGAGTTGGCCGCCATAGCCTGTGCCTCCCCCCCACCCCCAGGGACCAGGCAGCTCAACTCTGTTCTCAGCCCAGGGTCATCCTAATGCGACTGCCGCCACCGGGCCTACCTGCCTTACCCGCAGACATGTTTCCCATTGGGGTCCAGCTCAGAGGCATACGTCCCAGTCCTTGGGCCCTGGACTTGCAAGAAGAGAACCAAGAAGAGCAGCGACTCCATCGTCTTGGTGGGGCCCCCCGAACAGGACTCCCTGCTCGCCGCAGCAGCCTCCCTCTCGAGCTGTGCCTCTCCCTCCCATTTCCTCCTGGGTTTTTCCTGAGGAAGTCAACTGGGAACTTGGGGGGAGACAGGATGTACACTCTGGGCCCTCGGCTATTCTTAGGCGAGGCACTAGCAGAGACTCATGGCCCCTGGCTATGAGGTAAAACTGCGGCTTCTGTGGATAGTCTCTTGGGGATAAGATCAGGAGGCTGAGACCGGGTTGTGGAGGCCCTGGCTTCCTTAACTCCCCGGGGGCCACCTCCATAATCCTATCTCGTTCCCGCCAGCGAGTGAGGAAAGCTCCTTGCCCCAGTGGACCTCCCCTTCACTATCAATGCCAGTCATGGAGACATGAGGAAAGCACTTTGGTCATGCTCAGAGGCCCTTCCTTAATGATTATGACAAATGCTTCACGCCCTCCTGCAACTTCAGATGGTGAGCATAGATAGGTGTGGCACTCCTCACTCTTCAAGGAGCCATGCAGTGCCACAAGGGGCGGCTGGGCATTCCGGGCAGATTTTTCCTGCTCTCTTCCTTTTCAAATGCTCCACCAAAACAAATTTCACAGGAAACACCTTTTTCCTGCTCCAAGGGATGCTTCATTCAAAGGGGGGGCTGCTGGTCAGAACTGAAGCAGGGGCCCCTCCTACAAACCTCAGGCATTTCTGCACTGCAGCCTTGAACAATTGGAGTGATAATTTGCTTTGCACAGGAAACGCTGTGAATTGTGGTTCTGTGAAAGTGTAACACAGAATTCATAGATCCCCTTGGAAGGGGAGCTCCACACACCTTCCACAATGGCCCCCAAGCACCAGTGCACCTTGGGAAATCTGCAGCCCAGCACTCTATGGGTGCGTTCAGACGGGGCGTTTCAGCCGGCATAAACTGTACCAGTTGGAACCGGTGCTGTTTATGCCGGCTGAAACGCGATCACACTCACCTCCTGTCTGCGGAGCCCATTGCTGTATGCCCATCCACACGCTGCAGGCATCAGCGTTTGTTTTTTAAAACTTAGTTTGAGCATGCGCATAGGCAGCCATCCACAGAATAGCAATCTTTGCGCATGCGCAAAAAACCCCGTCTGACATTTAAACTTTAAAGGTAAGGACTTACCTTTAAAGTTTAAAGAGTAAAGTAGCCTCCCTGAGGTCCCGGACTCCTCCGAAACGCTAAACTAAGGCCCTTTTCTTTTTTAAAAAAAACAAACGCCAGGGCGAAGCTTCGCCCAAGCGCATATCGCCAACCTTTTTTTAAAAAATGGCGGGCGAAAATCAGAAGCCTCAGGCTTCCGAACGGAAGTGGCTAGACACCAGTGGAGAGTGATCAGACGGGGGGTAAAGCGATTACAACCGTTGTACTCAGGATACCACCACTTGGGGACCTAGTGGCAGAGTACAACGGTTTAAAGGGCTTTGCAACGGTTAGGGACGGAAGGCAGATGTTCTACATGTGGACGCCGGTAAGTACACCGATTGCAACCCGCACCTATACCGTAGCAAACGCCCCGTCTGAACGCACCCTATGAATAGTAGAAAAGAGCCAGAGTCCAGTAGCACCTTAAAAGACTAAGAAAATTTGTAGCAGGGTCGGAGCTTGTGTGAGTCACTGCTCACTTCTTCAGATAACAGCAAGAACGTGAGTCCACCTGTCCTATATATTGGAAAGTGGAGTGATTTCAGATGACAAATGACATTAGCAGGCAACTGACAATAGAAGGCGTGATTGGATTAGGTGATATGCAGAGGGACAGCAGGCCTGGAGAAATCAGACAGGAAACCTAGGACTGGATTTCAGTCCAGGTGGATACATTGTACTGAGCTTCATTATCAGTTGCCATTCTGCAACTGATAAATCCAGACAAATCCAGACCTTAAATCCAGACCTAGGTTTCCTGTCTCATTACGGATGCTGATTTCTCCACGCCTACTACTCCTCTGCATATCACACCTAATCCGATCACCCCTCTGCATGTCGCATCTAATCCAATCACGCCTGCTATTGCCATTTGTCTGCTAATGTCATTTGCCATCCAATATACAGGACAGATGGACTCACACTGTAGTTGTATCTGAAGAAGTGAGCAGTGACTCACGAAGCTCATCCCCTGCCACAAATTTGGACCCTTGCTCTTTTTTACTGCTACAGACAGACTAACACAGCTACCCATCTTGATCTAACTCTTTGAATAGTTCAGATAAGAAGGTGTGTGCCACGGGACCATATTTACTTATACCCCACTTTTCTCCTGAAGTGACTTGCATCTTTTTATCCTCAGAACAACCCTGTGAGGCAGATTAGGCTGAAAGAGAGTGACTGACCCCAGGTCAATCAGCAAGATTCCACAGCAGAGTCGGAATTCGAACCTGGGTTTCTCAGATCCTAGATTAGAGTCTGCACTCTTAGCCACTACACCAAATTCCTATGCTCCCTAAACCCTGCCCTCTTCAGGTTCCACCCCCAAAACCTCCAGGCAACATTATGGTGACTACTGACTACTAGCCAAACCTCAGTGGTGCCAACTGTCTTCCAGAATCAGGCTCCATGGAGAAGACCCAACAGCCAGGTAGACACAGTTGCAATGAAGGAGGGCAAGTCTCGACTCAGGGGCTACGCCCCGTGCCCCAATAAATGCATCCTTCCATGTGGGGGGGGGGGAGCCCAGGAGGTGAAGGTTGGAGAGCAAGGATTGCTGGGAGGAATGGGAGTGGGTGGCAGTCACAGTGCTACTGGGAAATAGAGATGGGGGGTCGCTGGTCAGAATGACTAGTGTGTGGGATGACAAACGAAGGACCCAAGTATGAAGGGAGACACAGGGTGCGGTCAGACAGGCCGTTTAGTCTGCTTTCGGCACGCTTCAGTAACGGATTTTATATCCACGTTCACACACCCAACATCTGCGCACCGTCCCCAGCCGTCGCTTTCCGGCTCAAACCCCCTTTAGAACGGAGTATTTTGTTACCAGGTCCCCAAGTGGTGTTTTCATGATTATCCGGTTCTAGCCACACTTTTCTGACATCTGATCGCTCCTGCGGCGTTGAGCCGGTTTAAATCCCCTCCCTGCTCGAAAGCTGCCCGAGGCTTCCGCTTTTCGCCCGCCATTTTTTTTAATGCGTTGGCGGTGCGCACATAGGCGGAGCGCCGCCACCGCGTTTAGAAAACCGACATTTAAACGGTCACTTGGTTTAGCGTTTAGATGAGTTCGGGATCTCATGGAGGCCATTTTTGGGGTCAAACATTTAAAGGGGAGTCTTTTGTTGGAGGGGTTGGATTGATTCGCCCTGGTGGCTCTGCGCATGTGCCATGGTAGTTTCCCCCCCTCTATGGAGGGGCGCCTATGCGCATGCGCAAACTGAGGGAAAAAATGTTTTAAATCTGCCAACACACGCTCCCGCACGTCAGTAGTATAGACGCCAGGGAGCGACGTGACTGCGCGGTGAGGAGGGATAAGGGAGGTAAGTGCGATCGCGATTATCCAGATCAAATATAATCCGGTTAGAACCGGAGCGGTTTAACCCGCTCTCAGCACGCCGTTTGACTGCACCCACAGTGAAAGCAGAGAAGTATTGAATAAATCCAACTGACACCCACAAAATAAAAATTGAGAATATAGTGAAAATTGAACAGAAATATCACATTACAGCCAGTATCTCACTATTCAGACAACGTATCAACATGAAAAACATGCATCAAAGAAGACAGGCATCTATGGACCTCTACAATAAGACCATACGTAGAAGAGATTGGAACAAATATGGGATAAAATAACATTTGCTAGCAAGTTGTTTTGACATACAGTCTTCCTCAGACCCAAAATACGTTCCTCTCTTGTCTCATTGTAACCAACCCACGTGTTGAAAGACCCTTATAATGAGACCACCTGGAAATACAAGAGACTGAATATTCAACTCCACACTTGGGGAGGGCTGTGGCTCAGTGGCAGAGCATCTGCTTGGCAGGCAGAAGATCCCAAGTTCATTTCCCAGCATCTCCAGTTAAAAGGACCAGGCAGCAGATAATGGGAAAGACCTCAGCCTGAGACCCTGGAGTGCTGCTGCCAGTCTGAGTAGACAATACTGAGCGTGTTGGACCAATGGTCTGATTCAGCAGTAGGCCGCTTCATGTATGTGTTCATGAGCTGCCTTGCTGCACAGTCTTCTTGCCCTCCTCTGTTCAGCTGGGGATGGACTCTATGGCATTATACCCTGCAGTCCCCCCCCCTTAGGCTCCACATCTAAATCTCAAGGAATTTCCCAAACCAGAGGTGGCAAGCCTAACAACCTATGGTCTGGCAGAGCCGTGTTGTGCGGCCCACAGCCCCTCCTATGAGGCTGGGGGAGGGAGGCACCATGTGTCAATGTCTTGACCCTCCCTCAGCCCCCACCACCAGTGTTCCCTCTAAGCTGAGTTAGTGTGAGCCAGCTCACAGTTTTTTTAGCCCCCGGCTCACACATTTTTGTCTCAGCTCAGGAAGGATGGCTCCAGAACACACTAATTTATGCAGCAGCCAAATCACCTGCTCACAACTTTAATGCTGGTAGCTCACAAAGTAGAATTTTTGCTCACAGGACTCTACAGCTTAGAGGGAACATTGCCCACCACCCTGCACCTCCCCCCCCACATACACACTGTGCAAGGTGGCAAGTAATTACCTCTTCCATCTCAGGTGTTCTCTGGGCCGAGACCATGTTCTGACCACCCTCCTGGAATTCCCCCATTGCATCCCAGGTGGTCTGCAATAGAAAAAAGGGAAATAACTTGGGGGAGGTGGGGTTAAAAGGCTGCCTCTCAGCCCAGAGAACAGCCCTGGAACAGTTCTGGGTCATCATGCAGCCAGGTACCCTTAGGGTTGCCAACTCCAGGTAGAGAAATACCTGGAGATCTTGGTGGCAGTTCCTGTGGAGGACAGACTTTGGGAAAGGCAGGACCTCAGCACGGTACAAGACCATAAAGTCCACCCTCCAAAGCAGCCGTGTTCTCCAGGGCAACTGATCTCTGTAGTCTGGAGATCAGTTTTAATTCTGGGAGATCTCCAGGCCCCACCTGGAGGTTGGCAACATTACGCCAGGATGCCCTGGCAAGCTAGCTCCTGCCAAGGCCTGGTATGGCCCCTGGAACTGCCTGAGTGGCAGTCCCCTGCCCTGTCCTGGACTCTTTGGTTTGTGCTGTAGGTTGCCACTCTAAGGCAGGGGTGTCAAACATGCGGCCCGGGGATCGGATCAGGCCCCCGGAGGGTTCCCATCAGGCCCACAGTGGAACTGGCCATCTCCTGCTTCCAGTTCTGCTGCTGCTGCTGCTGCATCATAGTGTGCTTCGCCGGATTCTCTTAATCACTCAGCCATTTCATGTTGTAACCTGGGTCCTAGACTCAGAACTCTGAGCATGAGATTTCTGCGGTGAATGTCAATAAATCAAAAGTAGGTTTGCAGCTTACAGAGCTAATGTTTTAAGCAGGGCTATTTTTGGGCAGGAACGCACAGGAACGGAGTTCCGGCTGGCTCCTGAGTTGGCCACGCCCAACAGGAACTCATTAGCATAATAGGCCACACCCAACAGCAGAAACTCATTAGGATTGGCTACATTAGGGGTGTGTGGCCTAACATGCAAAGGGCCTTTTGCTACAAAAAAGGCCCTGGGTTTTGACAACAAACAAGGTAAACAGAACAACAAGCAAAAGGTGGGTGTGGCTGGATATGCTAATGAGTTTCTGCTGTTGGGTGTGGCCTATTATGATAATGAGTTCCTGCTGGGCTTTTTCTTCAAAAAGAGCCCTGGTTAAGCATGTTTTTATTTTAAGTTAAAAAAACCCACTTTGTGTTTGTGTCCTTTATAAAGTTTATATCTCCGCTACCTGGCATTACATTTTATGACACACATGGCCCGGCCCAACAAGGTCTCATTTATGTCAGATCCGGCCCTCATAATAAATGAGTTCGACACCCCTGCTCTAAGGTGTTCAGACTTCAGAGGCAAAGCTTAGGGGGAGGGCAAAATGAAAGCAAAGCCCAGGGGCACCATAAAGACCAACAGTCATATGAGTGTTGCTAAGCAACAGCGCACTTGACTCATGAAAGCTTGCACTGGGATCAATGTGTCCTTAAGGCGCCCCTGGGCCTTGGTTTTCTTTTGGCCCCCTTGGCAACAGGTGCAGTTATGGAATGCTTGTTCCATTCCTTGTAGCGGGAGAGGGCAGGAATAAGGGTTGCCAACCTCCAGGTGAGAACATGTCATGAAGACGGACGAGATGCATTTTGCTAAACACTTTATCGGACACATTGCACAAGTGCTGTTGTGCTATTGAAGCCTTCTGAATATTGCTCTTGGTATCTATGGAATGATGTTACTGCTCCTGTTATGTAAGGGACATTAAACTTAATGAGATATTGTTACGTCTCAATATACTTCTCGCTAAATGTAATCACTGGGTTTTGCTTTGCTTTACTATTTTCACTTCCGTGAGTCTCTTTTTGCCTTAACCTCCAGGTGAGGCCTGGAGATCTCCTGGAATTGCAACTGATCTCTGGGCAAAAGAGAGCAGTTTCCCTGGAGAAAATAGCAGTTTAGTGGGCAAAATCTATAGTATTCTAGGTGAAATCCCTCCCCAAATCACCTCCTCTACGGGCAACACCCCCCAGATCTCCAGGAATTTTCCAGGCTGGAGTTGGCAACGCTGGCAGGAACACATAGTATTATGGGGGGGCGGGCGAAAGTCAGTTCGGAGAGGAAAGAAGAGAAGTGAAAGTCGCCCTTTGCCACCGTTTCCCGCTCCCCAAAGCTCCGGCCTCTCCTCTTCGCCGAGCCTCTGATTCGGAGCCAGCCGGGGCGGAGCCGCCTGAGCTGGGCTGACGCAGCGGCCGGGCCATGGAAGAGCCGGGGACAAAGCCGCCGAGCGCTCCTCGCCAGCTGGCCCTGGAGAAGGTGTACCGGCTGGCCGGGGCG